CTGGAACCCCTACGTCACGGCCTTGAGACCCGGGCAATCAACGGTTGCCACCTTGCTCTTATCACACACCAGACCCATCCTGTTAAAATGACTACGGCTGGAAACCACCATGAGACCATACAATTCATGATACTCACCACCTCTCATCCTGGGGCACTCCTGGCTCACCACCCATAACCCCCAGATCGATTTGTGTGGCAAAATCATCACCAGGTGGGGCCGTCTTGCTCCTCCGCTGTCTCCGAGCGGCCAAACCACCCGTCGCCCCTCCTCCTTTTAACTGACCCCACACTACACCAGATCTGTCCCGGGTCCCAAAAGTCTACCATGAACTCAGCGATGTATTTAACAAGGACCATGCCCTGGAACTATCCCCACATCAGCCATATGACTGTTCGATCGACCTCTTCCCTGGTGCCACCTTACCCACCAGTCGCCTATTCAACATCTCCGGATCAGAGAGACAAGCATTGGAGGAATACGTTCACACATCCCTTAAAACAGGTATTATACGTCCATCTTCCTCTCCTTTGGGGGCGGGGTTTTTCTTTGTGGGGAAGAAGGACGGAGGCCTCCGCCCATGTATTGACTACCGGGGTCTTAATGCCATAACCGTTAAAAACAAGTATCCACTCCCTCTCCTTCACTCTGCCTTTGAGTCTCCCCAGGGGGCGACATTATTCACGAAACTCAACCAGAGGAACGCCTACCACCTCATGAGGATGAAGGAGGGGGATGAATGGAAAACGGTGTTCAAAAACCGGACTGGGCCACTTTGAGTACCTAGTCATGCCTTTTGGCCTCACCAACGCCCCCGCTGTTTTCCAGGTCCTCATCAATGACGTTCTTAGAGACTTCCTGGGCAGATTCGTTTTCGTCTATCTGGACGACATCCTTGTCTACTCACCTATCTTGGCTGAACACCAGACGCATGTCCAACAGGTCCTCCTGCATCTCCTAGAGAATCGGCTATACGTGAAGGCGGAGAAGTGCGACTTCCACACCAAAACAGTTGCTTTCCTGGGGTTCATTATAGAAAGCGGCAGTATCCGAGCGGACCCAGCAAAAGTGAGTGCAGTCACCGAGTGGCCCACGCCCAGCAACCAGAAGGACATGCAACGCTTCCTTGGTTTCGCCAACTTTTACCGGCGTTTTATACGGGGCTACAGCTCTATAGCTGCCCTGCTTACCCGGCTGACATCCACCAAAGCACGGTTTGTCTGGACCAAGGAGGCGGAGCGGGCCTTCCGGGACCTGAAGCACCGCTTTACCACGGCCCCGGTGCTGATCCAACCAGACCCCTCCAAACAGTTCGTAGTGCAGGTAGACACCTCAGACCTCGAAGTGGATGCTGTTCTCTCCCAATGGGCTGACGGGGATCACGCACTACATCCATGCGCCTTTTTCTCCCACAGACTCACTCCCACTGAACAAAACTACGACGCAGGCAACAAGGAGCTACTAGCTGTAAAACTCGCCCTAGAGGAATGGCGCCACCTACTAGAAGAAGCACAACACCCTTTCCTGGTTTGGACGAACCATAAGAACCTCATCTACCTTCAAACCGCCAAGCGCCTCAACCCCCGGCAAGCGCGCTGGGCTTAGTTCTTTGGTTGCTTCAGGTTCACCTTGACCTACCGCCCCGATTCCCGCAACACGCCGCAACACGGTTCCCAGACGCCCTATCCCGTCAGTTCAGCCCATCGACGACAGATGACAACCCAGACACCATTCTACCCCCTTCCTGCCTAGTGGCTGCAGTTTCCTGGGACGTAGAAGAGACCGTTCGTCAAGCCCAACAACTGCAACCGGCTCCTGACCGCACACCACCGGACAGGCTCTATGTCCCTGACTCAGTGAGAGATCACGTACTGAACTGGGCCCACTCCTCCAGATTAGCCTGCCACCCCGGGATCCACCTCACCACTTCCCTCAGAAAGTGGCACTTCTGGTGGCCCACGCTCGACAAGGACGTATGTGAGTATGTGCAAGCCTGTCACATCTGTGCCTGCTCTAAACCCTCTCATCAATCCCCTGCAGGACTCCTACGCCCTCTGACGATACCCAGCCAACCCTAGTCAAACATTGCCGTTGATTTCCTTACAGGCCTTCCTCCATCCCACGGTAACACGACCATCCAGTCCATTGTCGACCGCTTCTCCAAGGCTGCCCATTTCGTCGCCCTACCCCAGCTGCCGTCTGCTCACAAAACAGCAGACCTCCTCCTCCAGCACGTCTTTTGCCTTCGTGGCATCCCTGCGGACATCATCTCGGACCGGGGCCCCCAGTTCATCTCACAGGTGTGGACCGCTTTCTGTTCTGCCTACGGGGCCAAGGCCAGCCTCACTTCAGGGTACCATCCCCAAACTAATGGGCAGGTAGAGAGACTAAATCAAGACCTGGTGAACGCCCTCTGCTGCATAACAGGTAACGAACCCGAATCATGGAGCACATTTTTACCTTGGGTGGAATATTCCCATAATTCTCTCACCAGCACCGCCTCGGGCTTCTCACCCTTCGAGGCCTCCTTGGGCTACCAGCCACCACTCCTACCTGATGAGGAAACAGACATCGCTGTTCCATCAATCCAAGCCCACATACGTTGATGTCGACAAATCTGGACGAAGACCAAAGCAGCCCTCACGCGCACCGCCGAACAAAATCGCCATCTGGCAGATTGACGCTGTCGAGCGGCACCCACCTATGAGAAGGGGCAACGAGTTTGGCTTTCCTCTGAGCACATTCCCATTAAGGGGACCAGTCGAAAGCTCGCACCCCGCTACTTGGGCCCTTTTCCCATAGCAGACATTATACACCCCACGGCAGTCCGCCTGACCCTACCTTTGTCCCTACGAATACATCCAGTCTTCCACATCTCCTAAATCAAACCGGTCTCCTCCAGTTCCCTTTGTCCTCCACCCTCTCTTCCACCACCTGCCTTAGAGGTCGACAACAAACCCGCCTAACATGGTCCGGCGCATCCTTGACATCCGCCGCCGGGGTCGGGGTTTCCAGTACCAGGTGGATTAGGAAGGTTATGGGCCCGAAGAACGCTCCTGGATCCCCCGTTCCTCCTTCCTTCCTCTCCTTTCTTTTTCTTTCCCTCTGCAGGCACACTCATCAGGCTTGGTGCGCACCTGTGCGGAGCTACACGGCTGAGATCACTCTCCTAATCAGCCACTCTCTACTTAAGGCATCAGTAGATACTTCTCTAACGCTAGTATGTTATCTCCTACTAACGATAATCTGGCTTCCTTCTACGACAATACAATCCACAGATTGTGTACCTTCGCTTGCCATCGCCTGCCAGCGGCTACTCACCTCGCCCTTCTGGTCAGACGTCTTCCTCAAGACTCCTCAGGTCAGTCTGGTCCTCACAACCTTACTTCACTCATCCTCTCCTGTCCTCCCTGTCACCAGTGTCTGCCGTCCTTGCCTCCGTATGGTGTGGGACCTGTCACCGTAACTGCACACTCCTCATCCCCCCAACGGGCTCCTCGACTGGTCCACGGAGTTTGTTCCCACTCGTCGCATCTCCTCATTCCTCTGCTCATACTATCAGTGCTTACCTGCAGTTTTTCCAATAAACCCTCTGGTCTGAACTGTTGAACCTACTTCTGAGTCCGTCTTGCTCGCGAGTGAGCTGACATAACAGCTGCCACGCAAACTATGCTACACATTATTTCAGCATGTGTTAAAACTGATTTTCCCTCAGCGTTCAACATTATCCAGCCATAGCTACTTGCTAAGAAACTTTCCAATTTTAATACAACTTTCATTGTCGTTGGTTGGATATTAAAAATGCCAATAAACAGGTCCCAGTGTGTCAGGATCTCTGTTGGATTGTCCTGTAAGTTGCACTCATCTCCAGCCTCTCCCAAAGGGTGTGTCCAGTCTGTCATTGTTTCTGTCTTCTACACAAATGACTGTGGAACCTCTTATGATAACAGGCATGTTTTGAAATTTGCTGATGACTCATTATCAGTGTCTGCAATAATAAGAGTCAGAACAGGTACCAGTTGTTGATGATTTTGTGTATTGGTGTAATGAGTAAGATAAATGTGCCAAATAACAAAGATATGATCGCTGATTATACTTGAAGATCACAGACTAGTTATAAAACCTAGAAGATAAAGACATTAATATTGTTCCTGTCTGTAATCAGCATCAGTAATCTGTTATTAGCTCTGTTATTTTTCATTGGTATATTCATTCATATATTTGTTTTTTTTCCATATTTTTATATACGGTATATTTATTGTTTTTATATCATCACCAGTGTGTATGTCTGTGACAGGAAGGTTAATGTTTGCATGCAGACCAAATTTCCTCTGAGTTAATAAAAAACAGACAGTAATAGAAAGAGAGAAATATTGTGTTCATGATCATGTTGCCCAATGGTTACAGAATGTTTATTAGAGCCACTCAACTTTTTGAGTTTGTCATAAGGTGATCATTCAGTTTTTTGTGCTTACACATTGTTTCTGCTGGCCTGAACAGTTTAACCAAGTGTCCAGACCCAAAACAGCAGTGCATTTAAAAATATACTGGTACAGTATAGGATATGGGGGTGGCTGTGGCTCACAAGGTAGGGCAGTTGTCTCCTGACCCGCAAGTTGGTGGTTCGACCCTCGGTCTCCCCGCATGCCTAAGTGTCCCTGAACCCCGAATTGCTCCCGGTGGCTTGATTAGCGCCGCTGTGTGGCAGCTGTCGTCATCGGTGTGTGAATGGGTGAATGGTGTATCATCTCTGTAAAGTGCTTTGGCCAGTGTAACAATCTTCGGAAATGTGCTATATAAATGCAGTCCATTTACCATATGCAGCATTTTGCCAGATGACCTTGCACTGTGTTGAAAAGTTCAGCTAGGTTTCTACTGAGATTTTCAAGAATCAAGATAAAATGAACTGTGCTTAACCAAACTAGATGTGTTTGTCCTTATGTGAATTGAGTGACCACACACTTTCTGTTATTAGTAATAGTAAAACATTAGTCATATACCTTATACTTGGTACTGCTGACCATGAGGTTGCCTTCCCGGAGCCAGCTGACTGAGGGTTTGGGGTTGCCAAAGGCGGTGCAGGTCAAGGTGATGCTCCCCCCCTCCTTGGCTTCTACATACTGAGGTGGTGTATCTGTGAATGTGGGGGGAGCTGACAAGTCAGGACAGAAGGAGTTTGGAGAGAAAAGCAATGAACAAGGGCATGTTAATGATCTTTCAGAAGGCTCAAGCACAGGTAGAACAAGCATCAAAGTCACAAAGTTTTTTTGTGTGTACTTCTGGTTTGACCCATAGCCCACAGTAAAAGGGAAGAGTTCATCTAAAGCAGGAACAAAATTGCCTGATTACACTTTGTAGTAACCAAAACCAAACTTGACTGCTGCTGTAACTCTTACTGAAATTGGCACCACCAGCATCGTCACTTTCAGTTTAGAAAAATAAAACTACATTTAGACCGGTCAGCTGCATTAAGCAACCAAAGTCTTTGGTTAGCATTAGGCAAATATTACAAATTATACACCTGTTTTGCTGGCTCACTTTAAATGTAGGTGCAATTAGCTGCTGCCACTGCAACCACACTGCACAGTGAGTGAGCATCAATCAGTGCTTTCAAAGCCCTGGAAAAAATTCCACAAATGATTACAAAGTGCACTGGTAGCTCAATCTAGCTGTTCTAACATACATAACAACGTGTGTTAAACTATTTATTAACACTGCAACATACTGATATATTGCAGTTGCAAGGAGATGTGAAGAAGAGCAGTGTCCTAAACTGTAGGTTTGGCACTTGATGAACATGTACCATGTGGCTGTGTGGCACTGCTGCATCAGCTGTGTGTCTTGTTCTTTGAATGTACACAGCATTTATCTTTTCTCACAGTAAAGAGGTGATGCGTGTGTGCAGAGAGGGTTCCTAAGGGATTAAACCTGGCTGACTGTGTCGTTATAGTGATTATAGTCGTTCAATAGTATTTATAGAACATTCTTTTCTGGAACAAATGTACATTTGTTCACAAGTGCACAAATGTGTAATATCCTTAAAATAAACCATGGCATTTAATATCATAACCAGAACTTTTTTGTTGCCATTTCTCTAAATTTCTAAATCAGTGTTCAGGGCCAGTTGTCTGACTGCAGAGACCTTCTTCGCTCATTCATTTGATAGCCTATATTCCCCAAAATGTTCAATTGTCACCTACTTGACATTTCATCATGATCATTTAATAAGGATTTACTAATAATGATGATGCTAATGATGGAAACTTGACAGAAGAGAAAAATTTACAAAGCTGGATGTAGACTTGAAGTGTTTCCAGTAAGCCAGGAAATAAAAATAGATAAAAACCAGTGATATTTAGATTTTTAAACACATGCTCTTAGTCAGTAGCATAAAATCTTCCCATTCCTTCTTTGAGAGATCAGACAAGTACCTGATAGCAGAAGACTGGATAATCAACACATTACCAAGAGACGTGTCAGTAAGAAACATGTGGAAACCTTTACCTGGCTTTGCTTTTGCTACATATCTGGTTGGTCCAACATTTTAGATGTGCATCAGTACACAAAGCAAATGTGTTTGTCACAACAGGAAGAACAGCTAAAGCTGGTGCTGTAAGTGCATACACCAACAGAACAAGCTCGTGCATTTATATGCATAAAAGACACACAAGCTGTTGGTGAAAGCCTGTTTGCAGTCTATTCACAGGCAGCTCTGACATTTTCTTCTGCAGGAGAGGCATTGTTTTAATAAACAGCAGAACTTTTTCTTGTCCTTTCTCAAGGACTTCTTTGAAGTTGGAGTTGCAAAGTTATTTTATGTGATTCCGTATTCATTTGCCTCCATTTATAATCAGACCTCAGTTTTTTGCATAAATTAAATATGTATGTAAAGGTAGACAAATGTAATATGCTTTAATATCTAATGACTAATTCATCATAACAAGATAAATTGCAAAACAAGAATTTCACCTTGCTTTTCAGCACACTTCAATCGAGCATGGATATAGGGAGTGATGCCTTTTTTCACAATCTTCTTTATCTGAGAGATCATCTAGATTATGATGAGGGATGATAACACAAGACAAAAGGAACATCTTCCTACTAAATAAAATTTAAGCTGTGTTTTCTGCCCCACCCCCATTTAACCCAAAACAACTCCATACTATCCACACACATGCTGATATTGTCAGTGATTCAATGCAGATTTTGTCATAATTCCTGTTTTGATATTCTCATTCTAATCACCTTAGGACTGAAGCTGATTTGCTTATATGTGTAATCCTGTAGCCTCTCAAATGCTAACATGTCATTCCAAATGCAGTCATAAACCAGGCCATACTGCTAATTTACCACAACTCTGACTTCCTGGTGCAATGGTGAGAAGCAACCACCATGATCATCATTTGACATGACAGAAGATGAGTATTAAAGGTATACTTCCATGTAATAATACAACACCACATGGGAATGTGGTACACATAGTATGTTCTTAAATTAATGTTATTGAAATATTATAGTAGAAATTGTCTCTTTGTTTTCAGTGGTAGTGGCTTTTCTTATTTTAGACCAACCACAGGGCATACAATTTTTTGTCTATTTTCCACAGTACACTATGATACTGAAGAAAAGCATTTCAGCACACTATGAAACCTTTTGCCAAAGTTACACTGTTATCATGTGAACTGCTGTTGTGAGCAGGTGCTATTTTTGTAATTTTCCACAGTGGCATGTTCAAGGACACTTTGACTCCCTGTAATTGACAGCAATTTCCAACAAAGCACTGCATTCACAACCTACATTTCCAGTCAAACATTTAGAAACACCTTCTCCTTTAACAGGTTTTCTTTGTTTCTCTTAGGCCACATTCACACTGCAGGCTGAAGTGGCTCAAATCCGATCTTTTGGCCTAAATGTGACCCATATCCGATTTCCTTATGACAGTGTGAACAGCACAAATCCAATTTTTTCAAATCCGACCCAGGCCACTTTCATATGTGGTCCTAAATCGGATACATATCCGATGTTTTGCAATGCGACTTCAGTCCGAACGGCCAGGTCGCATTTCATGTGATTTTTATGTCACTGAAATGCAACAAACATCACAATTACATAAGCAATATTTGTGCTCTCCTTCTTCTTGATATTCTTCTTATTATTATTTCTTTATTTCGATTGCACATTAACTGGTACATCACTACGCACATGCTATCACAAGCCGCATCCATTTTTATTTTCGCAAACACAGTACGCTGCGTCTGACGTCACGTCCTCTTCTGCGCATGCGGGTCACCTCAGGACCGTATACCGTTCACACATGAGACAGATGGCAGTCGCATTTAAATGACAGTGTGAACAACAGAGCAAAAAAATCGGATTTTGGCAAAAAATCCAATCTGAGCATTAAGACCTGCAGTGTGAACGTAGTCTTATTTTCTACTAGGGGTGTGATGAGATCTCATCCCACAAGATCTCGCAATATTAAAACATGCCATTATTTCTCGTTGAGGGAGAGGCCATCTTGTGACATCAGTACATAAAAGAACTGGAGCAGCAGCCAGTATGACAGTAAAGTGATGGTACATTCAAATTAGTCTGGCAAGAACAATTCCCTGTTGTTTTATCGCGCAGGGGGAATACGTGAATTGGTCAGGGGGTGAGAGGTTTTGGGGGGGTGTTGTAGGGATGATATGGCCACATTGTGATGAGTTGACACGAGTGGCTTCATTCACGTTTCCAGCTTGTGTTTCCACTGTGTTTTGGTTAGCCATGATGCTAACGTAGCCTACTCTACCTTAGCACCAATTCCACCACCAGTGTGTCGACATTGACAGATAAAAAACATCATTTAACATCCAGTTCTCTTTCTGGTCCACTTCAGCTCTGAATGGGTCTCAGTCCTCTTGCTGTTAACACTATAGCTACCCCATTACATACAATACCTGGCTTGGAATTCCTTTCACCTAAAATTTTACAATTATTCAAACAAATGTCTTGCACAGTAATTTGGTCACTCATACAAGCACATCCTGTCTTATTGCCCATCCTGCTCACCACTCACACTCTGATCCCGCAGGAGTCTGCCGGTGATATAGGTTCACAAGATTGAAGCAAAGGTGCCAATGTGTAGAGAGAAGTATGAGTGCAATATAGCACTTTCACCCACAATCTATATGCATCACTTACTTCTTCACTGCCAACTAGGCTGACAGCTAAAGTGCTCAGTGTAATCACTGACAACCACTGATGTCTGACAATGATAGGGAGAGGTGGATTGCAAACTGGAGACTATAAATAGAGAACTGCACTGCTGGAGCTTCACAGAGCATGAGTATGTAGCAGCACCCTGAACCTGGTAAGATTCTGTGACTAATTCCTCAATGTATTAGCCCTACTTCAAAATATAGGGTTAAAACACATATTTAAGCATTTAGCACACTTATACTAATGCCCAGGAGATAAGAGCCTCTGTAAGTGCTGAAAAACATGATGGGAGCAGCAGCTTTATCACTGAAGGATGCACACCAGTGTTATATGCTACTTGGTGGTTCACTGTTATTACATAATAACCTGAACCTGCCAGTACTGTATTATTCACATTATTGACAGAAACTCTGATGTGTAGATGTGAAGCTTGAGTGGATTCATCTTCTGTGGATGATATCTTAGAGATCACATTAAAGCCCATAAAAAGTAAAGTAAAAAGAGTTTTATTTCCTGCTATTTCTTTCAGCTCTATTTCATACAGGCTTCACTGCCTAATGGAGCTCTTAAGGCTTGACTATTCATCTTCTGAATTCTATGGTTAGAAAATTTGCATGTGCATTCTCAGTCAAAAATTGATAAGCTGGGTGTGTATGTACCGAACTTCTAAAAGATTCATTTTGGACTTGAATGAAAAATAAAATACAAGGTAATCAATTTATTTAGAGCTTAAAATTACCTCTAGGTTAGTTAAGGTGTCTGAGTCCTGAGTGAAAAGTTGTACTTTTTATTAAAGAGTGTTTTAACCCAAGCCACATAGTTTAGTACCTAAACCTAACTACGTAGAATTAGTCTCTAAATCTAACCACATAGATTTAGTGCTAAAGCTAACCCTATAGGAACCTGTGGCGTCAGTATGAGATGCCTGAACTGATTCTTCCAGAAGTGGGT